TAATGTCACTGGCTTGGTGGCATCAGGGACTGGGTATTTAGCTTCATGGGCTGACCATTTGGCAATATCTATCAATGGATTACCGGTTTGTGGCTGAAAAACAATGGAGGATCCATTAAGAATTTTGTGCCCACCAGGAGGAACAGGTTTTGTTATATAGACCTGTGATTTTGTGTGTTTCCATTGAAGTAGTTCAGAACATACCACCCCAAAATATGCTGCTCTGGCAGATTGATTGCTTTGAGTTAAAGGCTCTTGGATCTTCCTTTTTCTTCCTGAAAGCAGGAGATAAAATTCCCATGGGAAAGGTGCCCTCCCAGTACTAGGAGGAAGAAACACTCTTAACACCAGAGACAGGAAATCAAGGCTGAGAGAAATCTGTACAAACACATCTTGTTGAAATAACTCATCTTCTTTTAGTCTCCCCATGTATTTTAGTTGCTTTCCTGCAATTGACACACTGTACAGCCTCATAAATAACAAGTCTTGCGGGCTTCCTTTTTCTTGCAAAGACACCCATGGATATGTAAATACATTTAGTATGCTTTTTCCCTGTGAATCTGTCTTGTGTGTCAGTCTCAGCTGTGGATCCTAGAAGGTGGAGGAAGATTTTACTTCTACTACCTTTTCTGCATCACATGTGGGCATGTGATATGCACACGACTTACCCCGCTGACTCACATGGCTCACGTGGTTGGGGGAAGTCTGCCATGTGTCTCTACTCCACTGTCAAGTTAGCATTTTTCACTTTCCCTACTCTTTGGAGTTGAGTTCCAAAATCCAGTCCACTCTCAGGATTGGGCTGAGGTGGCGGAATTAACACTTCACCTCCTGAAAGAGAGACCATCTCCTTATACAGATTTCATCAGCCAATTTCAAGAAAGCAAGTTGGGCTTTTAGGAGCCAGTGCTTACAAAACCCTCACAGGAAAACTGGCTTGTCCCTGGCTTGCAGGGTCAGTCTTACAGGTCTAATCTGGCCAACCAAGATCCTTGCGATAATTTGGGAACATCAAAGGAGAGAAAAATTCACCAAAAGGCAGAGATACTGCAAGTGAAACTTGAGTTAGCAAATGATAGAGGTTTTTAGATTTGAAGTTTGAGATTCCTTATGGAAACTTCTAGTAAAGCAAACTGAACGCCTGCTGCACCTGTGTAATCAGAGCAAATCCCATGAGACCAGCCAAGGAAGATCTTTCTTTGAGATTATTTTTAATGAAAGGGACAACTCAAATATTATTCAGCCATAAAAAAAAGAGAAGGAAATCTGGCTACTTGTGGCAACGTGGATGAAAGTGGAGGGTGTCATGCTAAGTGAAATTAGCCAGACAGAGAAAGACAAATACTGTGTGATTTCTCTTGTATGTGGAACCTAAAATGGTCAAACTCATAGGAACAGAACAACGGTGATTGCCAGGGGCTTGGGTAGGGGATGGGGAGATATTGGTCAAAGGGTACAAACTTTCATTGTAAGATGAGTAAGTCCTGAGGATGACCTGAATACTGCAGAGTGACTTTTGTTAATAGTTCTGTATTGTATACTTGTAAGTTGCTAAGCAAATACATCTTCAGCGTTCTCGCTACACACATCAACCGCTGATCACATAGAACTGTGGTAGGTATTTAGTGAGAAAAAAAAATCCGGGCATAAGTGGACCCACGCAGTTCAAACCTATGCTGTTCAAGGGTCAACTGTATTAAAATTAGGAAAACATTATCAAGCTGGGTGGGAAAAAAAAGAACTCTTTCTTCCCCTGCCCCTGTGAAAAAGGCAGTTTTGCACAATCATTTCAATATTTCTGATCTATAAACCTGTATCTTCTTTGAACATCTGACCGGTTTCTTTCATTAATCATGAATTCAATAAAATCTTTAACAAGTATTCATTTTACATCAGTATGAGAATCACGATTTTTCCTTTCTTTGAAAATTATCCTGTAACATGCCCTGTTGTTCTCAGGTGCCTAAGCCTGGCATTCTAGGTCCAAATTTTGCTGCCATCTGAATCTCTGCACACTTATTCCCTTTCCTGGAACACTATGATATCCCCTTAGTGAACACATTCTTTCTAATTTCTGGCACAAGGTTCCTGTCCCATCCTTTGGTCTTGCCTGGCCCCAATTATCATTCTTTAGCTCAACCCATAACACCCAGAGTAGGGTCAGCAAAAAGGGGTAGCTAGGGATGTTTGTTGAATTAATGAATACATTTTCTGCCTAATGAACTTTTAGTTACTCTTCAAAACCCCAGCCCCAATGTCCCTTTTCCCAGTGCAGGACCTTCACTCCTCCTCTGGACTTCTCTAGCCCTGGTGCCTCTCCATCTGGCCCATTGCTGCCCACCGTGGGACTAGGGATGTCCATCTGGCTCTGCATCCCCTGGACAGGGGTCTTCTCAGGGGTCCCAACATTGTGCAAATCCAGAAGAAGGGGATCTGCTGCCTTAGCAAATGAATCACAACATCCAGAAGTGTTTATTGAACAAGTTTCGATGTAGCACCATTCTCAGTAGGGCAAGATTCTTGATCTAGGGGCAAAATTTTGAGTCCCGGATTAATGGAATGTGTAGAAGTTAACCAGATGATGAGTAGTGGTTGCTGAGAGTTGGAGATCAGAAAACGAGGGCAGATGGGATCCTTCTCTTCCTACATCAGCCCCCTCCCGGGGCACTGGCTGTCACTTGAAACAGACTTCCTTGTGGGAACTGGTCATGATTTGGCAGACATCCGGCTTCTCGCCCTGGAGGAGATGGCCGTGAATTGGGGTCCTGAAAGGAGACCCTACCCGCAATGGCTGAATCCCTCTGGTCCCCATACAGCTTACCTGGTACAACTGACAAACGAGGCGTAAAAGCTGACCCTGCTCTTTCATGGGTTTCTACACAAGCAAGACAGGAGGTCATAAGTCCCACCCGCCTCAACCAATCCGTGCTTGGTCCAGAAGGGGCTGCAAATGGCCCCAAGTCTGGCCCCTGCCTCTTGCCTCCCAGATCAGTGGGCACATCAATCCATCCTCCCACATCAGTGGGCACACCCATCTGCCTGGGGGCTGACCTGAGGGCTGCAAGAGTTCTTACCCCATTGACGACGACCCAGGGCACATATTCGTGGGGTGGTTGCAGAGCGTCTGTCAGCTGGGCGTTGATGTGTAAGAGCTGCATGCCACGGTCCCCCATTGCACACTCCATGATGGTGTCCGGGGACACCTTTGGAGCATAGATCTGCAGGCACTGAGGGCAGAGGGGGACCTGGTCAGCTGGGGCATTGCCTCAGCTTCCTCCCTGTTATCTCCCCAACGGTCCCCAAACCAGCACTGCTCCCCCAACCCGGCCAAGCCAAGCTTCTGTTTCCTCACTGGCAACGGGGGACAGTTGGGTTCACAGGGATGCAGCAATGCCCACAAGTAGTAGGTACTTAATACATGCCTAATTGGAAGCCCCCAGGGCAGGAGCTCAGGTTGCTCCTGTCTTCCATAAGACCAGACCCGCAGCCCCTGATCCCTACAGTGTTTCACTTTCCTCAGAGCTTCCATACATGCTGTTCTCTCTGCCAGAAACACCTTTCTTCCTCCTTTGCACTATCCCAGCCCCACTATGAATGTGCAGGGCTAGGGGTGTCTCAGGATGGCCCAGGTCTCTTGGGTGGCCCAGATGTTTGATGAATGAATAAACAATTGGGGCAGATGAGTCATTCGTCTGGGAGTTCCTTTTCATAATCCTCCAGGGAGAGAGGTCCTGTCCTGTCACTCCCATAGAGAAGGATCATCATCTATGTCCCTGCTCATTCCTGTTCATCCAAGCCCAGCTCAGAGACACCTTGTCCAGGAAGCCCTCCCTGATCTACCCACGTCCCCAGAAGATCTTCATCCTCTCAATTCAGAGATTGAGGCTATGAGAGGGGAAGCCAGTTTCTCAGGGCTGCACAGAGAGTGACCATCAAGGTAAAGACTTGAACTTGGGTCTGTCTGGATGCAGGGAGGTCAGGGCCCTGCAACCCAAGCTGAGTGAGGGGGGCACTGCTCACCGGCTTCAGATTTTTCTCCATGTCATCCATTTCCTCGAGGCAGACAATGGTTAGGAAGGCCACGTTCCTCTCTAGCTGGTCCAACAGGCAGGCCTAGGGTTGGGGGCAGGCAGGCAAGGATGTGAGGGGGGCCCAGAGCACCCTGAGACCACTCTGGGAATAATCACGGGTGTCCACTAACAAAGTGGAAAAATGAAGACATGATGACATGAGGGCAAACAGGCAGAGGACAGTGCTGGTTCCAATCCCTTCTGAGCCTCGCTTTCACCTTCCTTATCATGGATAGTTTTCCCAGCCTCGGTGCTCCCCACCCGGGAACTCTGGGGCTGCTCACCTCCACCTTGTTAAGCTTGCATTCCTGCTCCCCGTGTTGGCATGTGAACTCCCACTTGCCACTGATGTTTTGTTCCTGAAAGGCAGTGGGATGAGTGCTGGCAGCCCACCTCCTTCCCCTGCCCTCCTCCCCTGGCCACGTGCCTCAGTTTCCCCCGTGCCCACGTACCTTTGCGTTTCCATAGGGCACCAACGTGACATTGAGGATCTCCTGAACCAACAGCCACGTTGGGAAAAGCTCTCGGACCAGAAAATATCGGCAGCCGGGACATAGTGACTCATAATAGAGGCTCACATTGACAGGTGGTGGGTCTGACTTCCCCAGGGGCGCTCTCAGGCACAGCTCACCAGCCTGGGCGGGAGGAAGGGGTATGAATCAAAGGCAGCCCTGCTTGGTTCTCTTGCAGAAAGGGAGCTGCAAACAGTAGGTGCTCCATCTCCCACTCCTTCCAGAACTTGCCAGGTGGAATTCTGACTCTGAGGCTTTACTACATCTCTAAATCTTCCTACATCTCAGCCTGTCTGCAAAATGGATGTGACAAGATTTGCAAACAGTAGGCAGTTAATGTGTACACGAGTCTTGCTTCCATCTGGGTGAGCTGAAACTTTTCACCCAGGGGGACAGCAGGTGGTAAGAATTCAAGTCATGCACATTTCTGGTCACTGCTGTCAATCCTGCCTTCTGTGGTGCATACCGCCAATGCATGCTCACTTGTTGCCACTTCATCCCTGGAGACTTGGCCCTGAGCTGAGCAAGCTCCTACACCCCCACTGACTCCTTATTTAGTCTTCCCCTCAGCGGGCCCACTGAACTCCTCCCAAGGCTACTGCAGAGGCGGCACCTAATAGGTGCTGACTTCCGGCTACAGCTGAGGGGTGGCGGGCGGCGGTGTCTGTGAGCAAGTCGCTCAGCCTTCGGGGCATCTGCTTACTCCGCACCAGAAACACGCGAGCTCTTCCCGGGCAGAAAGGCACCCAGTAAGCAGCACCTAATGAGAGCGGGTAGCCTTAGGCAGGCTGCTTAGCTTGTCTGGGCTTCCCCTGGCATGAAAGAAGAGACTGATTTCCGCTCCAGATGTACACAGTAGGTGCTCAGTGCACCCTGGGTGGAGGGGCAGCGGGGAAATCCGGGTTACAGCCGAGCGACTCAGACTCCAGATGGGGAAGCGAAAGGGAAAGGAGTGTGGCCACAGTGTCAGGATTGAAGTGGATGGGGTCGGCACCGACCCGGGTTAGCGCCCCCTCTGGACCCTGGTCTTCCCTGGAGAAGCCTGGGGAGAGAGGAGGAGCCGCCGGCCTGTCGCCTGGGCGCCGGTCCCCGTTGGCCCGCCGGCCGCATCGCCGTCCCTACCTTGCAGGGGGCCGCCCCCTCTGGGAATGTTCCCAGCAGGGACGCCCGCGCCGCCGAGGGGCCCTCCAGCAGCAGCAGCAGACGCAGGAAGGGCAGGAGAGGCAACGAGGCCATCACAGCGGGGACAAACGTGCGACGCCGGGAGCAGCGGCACCGGGGAAGGAGCCGCCTTTAACCCGGCGGTGGCCCAGCCCCCAGGCCGGACCCGCCTCCTGGGGCCCACGCCCCTCGGAGGCCGGGCCGCGTCTCTGGGTATCTCTTCTTCTCCCTCTGAGTTTCTTTCCAACCCGACCCCCACCCGCACCCCTGCCAGGTGCTGGGCCTCTGATCACCTGGACAACGGGCTGCCCTTCGATCCCCCCAACCCTTCCCCACGATCAGTCCCGCCCAGTCACGTGAGGCTGGGGCTCAGGCACCTTGAACAGAGATGAGGTGGGGGCTTAGAGACAGAGTCACAGAGAGACTGGGAGATAGGAGGGTCTCTATGGCCCCACGGATCCCTCTGGGGGTAGCCAGGGTGATCCAGGCCCCTGGCCCAGCCCAGGGACCCCACCTCCCCACCCAGTGCTGGGATGGGGTGGGGTGGAGGAGGGCCATCACTTGCCTAGGAGTGGGCAGGGGCTGTGCAGCCCAGGCCCCCTCCCCCGAGCATGGCCCAGGCCCTCCCTCATCCCCAACCTTCAGCCCCTCCCTCCTCAAGCTCCCCAGCCTCAACACTCTAGATCCACCAGCAAAGTCCAGGTCCCGTGGGGCTGACTCAGACTTGGCTGCAGCTGGACCAGAAAGCAGAAGCCAGCTCAGGGAGCGGCGCCTCGCTTCACTTGGACCCCATCTCTGGCTGTAGGGTGGAGGGAGAAGAAATTAGCTGTTCCTTCTTTCCACCATCCAAGGCTTGAGAAGGGGGCATTGCTGCTCTCACAGTGAGTTCCCTCGCGGGAGAGAATCCAGGTTGGAGCTATCACTCTCTGAAGCCTGTATATGGGGTGGGGGTTGTGGATTGGCCATGTTGGACTCAAACCCACAGGAATCAGCCAGACTCAGGTTTGCCCGGGAATGCTGGGTACCTCAAGTGATGAAGCCTCAACTTCCCCTTCTGTAAAATAGGGGAAGTGAGGCTGAGGGAATAAAGCAAGCCTGGAAGGCTCAGAGGTAGAGGGAGGGTTGCCCCAGATTGGGATCAGGGGTGGGACAGCTGGGTTTGTGAGCCTGGGAAGGTGTTGACACTACGCCCAGAGAGAATAGCCTGGATGAAGGCTTGGAGACTGGAGGTGTTGAGGGAGTAACTGAGCTGATCAGACTTCACAGGGCCTTAAATACCAGGTGTGACTTACGACCAGATCTGGCAGGAAGAAACTCCCATTCCTGGCCCGGAAAACAGCACAGTCCTCAGCTCCACAGCTTGTGTCTCCCACCAGTTCTAGACTGCGTGGCCACGTTCATAGTAACAGGTTGGGAAGCTGGGATTCCCCTGAAGTCCCCATGGCTGGACAATCCCCCATCCCAGCCTTTTGAGCCCTTCGCAAAACTCATTTCCTTTATGAAGCCTCTGCGAGACTAAGCCACACAGCTTTGTTAGTTTAGTGTGTGCTCCATCCTGTGCTGGACTGTACAGAAGAAATGACAATAAATATCATTGCCACAATTTTCCCAGTAGTTATCAAGCATCAGCTCTTAATGGACAAATTCAAAAACAACCTTATCCATTTTATCATAGAATCCTGAGACATCCACTCGGGGCAGGAGTAGCAACTCTTGACCTAGCTTGGTAAGAGGAAACTGAGGCTCAGAGAGGGGAGGTGACGTTTCTGAGGAAACACAGTTGGTTGAGTGTGGGGACTGGCTAGAGGCCGCGTGTGCTACTTCCTTCTGCTCCCAGGTTCTACCTTGCTGGGCTTATGGGACTGAGGTGAGTGAGCTTTACCCTGTGTCCACCCATGTTGAGGGTGAGGACCACAGTGAGGGTAGAGTCTGGGCTGGAGTTATTTAGGGGATGCCTCCTGACTGGCCACACAGCAGGTAAGGATGGGATCTCTGAGGCCAAGGAGGCAACTCCTGTCCCTCTGAGAGCCCAGTGGGAGATGGGTCAGGGGCAGCCTGGTTCTCATCAGGGGCTGCTTCAGGGTTGTTGGGTCCTGCCAGGTGCTGTATAAGGAGGGGGAAGGAGAGAAGGTTCCCAGCCCTGGGGGTGTGGGAGAGGAGGGCTGAGGGACAGCCCTTGGGGTGGGGGTGAACTTGGGTCCAGGTCAAAGACACCCTGAAGACCCAGCTCTGTCACCTGGGACATCGCAGAATGAGTGTCAGGAGCAGGCATGGAGAGAGGCTCAGTGGAAGGTCAGCAGGGAGGGGCTGGCACTGAGGGCATCAAGGATATGGGTGACCCATGTGGGTGGCATGGGAAGGGCTGTGACTAGTGACCCTGCCTGACAACAAGGAAGCTGCACATCAGAGGGGAGTGTCTTTTTGGAGTGCAGGGCTGGTGGCTGAGTGCCAAAACTCAAGCCCAGGGACCAGTGATTAGCTGGTCCAGGGTCTGAGGTCCCCTGAGCAAGCCAGGGTAGGGCGCAGCGCTTGGGGTCTCGGCCTCTCTGCTGTGACCTCAGGCAGGTCTCTCAACTTCTCTGGTCAAGAGCATCTAAACTATGGTGGGGGTGTGGAGGTGGGGAGGAGGCACGAGTTGTAGGTCCCCACTTGGCAGCCCAGAGCCAAAGAGAAGCCTGTCACCAAAAACAGAAGCCTCCACCATGTTCAATGTTTTATATCCATATCAGTATCAACGTACCATACAAAACCTGCCTACCAGCCTAGCCAGGCAGGCAGGAGGTGGGGGGGGGTGTTCCGTGGTAGCGTAGAAAACCAGGGCTCTCATCCCAAAAGATGAGAGAAAAAAGGGCGTTACATACAATTAAGGAAAAATAAAATCAGAACCCAACATGATCGAGAAGCCTTGAGTCTGTGTCAAGTGGAGGTGCTGTGGGCAGCGCTGTGTGTTGGCCGCCCCAGATGTGCTGGGGCCTCGATTCCTGGGAAGCCTGGGGTCAGCTCATGAGTTTATTTTTAATTATTTTCCTTTTTGGGGGTCACTTCTTGGCAGCAGCCCCACTGTGGGGATAACCCAGTGTCAGGTTTCACTTCAGGGTTTGAAGGGGAAGTTGGGGTCTGTGGGGCAGGTCCCGCCTGGCCCCAAATGTCACGGCTGAGGTTCTTGGAAGTGGCTGAGCGAAGTTCCTTCCTGCCCTGACCCCAGGTCTATGGCTTAAAAATCGGGGAACCCAGGCTGGGGCCGCGCAGCCCGGGGGCCTCTGTAAACATGGCAGGTGCAGCCAGGTGGGGCTTTGGGGACCCCAGGAGCCTGTGGGGGGCAGGGCACAGGGTCATGGGTGGCCAGAGCCATAGGCAGGGCAGTGCCTCTGTAAGAAGGCAGGGGGAGGAGAGTATGGAGTAGGGGAGGCAGGACCCCCCAGCACAGATACACAGAGGGACAGAGACCAAGAGAGAAGGAGCAGACAGACAGATGGCGCTAGAAAGTGACAAAGGGTGACAAGGGGAAATGGAGAGAGGCTCTGAGAAAGGGAGATGGAGAGAAAAACACAGACAGGAAGAGATACAGAGAAAACCCAAGAAAGAAGAGACAGATTCAGAGAGATGGAGACCTGGGATGCCGTCGCTAGCCCAGCCTCCAGCTTGGGGGCAGCTCAGCTCCGGGACAGGTCTCTTGCTCTTGCTCAGCCGTCAGCGGGCCGCAGGTGGGGGCCCGGGGCCTGGGGCGCGCACGGGATGGGCGAGCGTGACGGTGAGCGCGTCGTTGTGCTGCACCAGTGAGGCATGCTGGTAGTGCAGCACCAGCTCCTTCAGCGACCCGTACAAGTTGTAGGGCTCCGCAAAGCCGAAGCCCGTGGCTGTGCGGTAGATGACGCAGTGTTTGGTGTCACCATCCACCCTGTGGGCGTGGGCAAAGGGGCGGGTCAGATAGGCCTCCACCAGGCTCTCCCAGCTCAGTCCTGCTGCTCCTGTCAGGCAGTCCCTGCCTGGGACCCAGATTTCCCTATTTCTTGGGCACTGACTTAGTCTAGACTCTACCATCTCCCCGCTCTGATACTGTCCCAGCTCTCTCCTCTGCTCCCAAGGATCCAGGGCTTCTTCCTGGCTATCTTCCCAAGGCCTAGCATACAGTTGGTGCTTAATGAGAGATCTTGGAAGGAATGCTTGGGTTCCCCACCCCCTCAGCCCATTCTTGGCTCCCCTGCCACTCACACCACGGAGCAGGCGTAGCAGCCGCGCTGGCTGCTCTCACGGATGAGGAAGGTGCCATCCCGCTTGCCACTCAGCATTTCCTCAGCTTGTGTGCGGTTGATCTTGCCTACATACCACGTGCGTTCCTCATGGTGGGGAAGGTCATCCTCATCTTCCATCAGTGAGTACTGGCTGTTGGGGAGGCAGGGAGGTGCCCTGGTCACTTACCTGGCTAGCCTCCAAGGTCCTCCTGCCACCTGGACAATTCTCCCACCCTGGTGAACTCCTACTCATTCTGCAAAACCCACCAAAAATGGCCCCTCCTCTGGGAAACCCCCCTCCAGGTGATCACTCACTCCTCAGTCTCGTTTTTGATTCCCAACCATTCGTTGATTTTCTTCTGCCGGGCACCTTTCTGAGTGAGCCACCTGCAGGGAAGAGGAAAGGTGGGCTTGTGCTGCTCCGCTGGTAGGGGGATTGGAGGCTGCAGCACAGGCAGGGTGAGCCCACCGTGGGCCAGGCCAGTCTGGCTGGAGGCAAGGACTAAGTGCAAATTCTGGGTGTGACACCCCTAGTCGCCACGAGGGATCAGTCTTGGCTTGGTCAAGGACACCTTGAACCCATGAGGGCTCCACAGGCTCTGTCAGGGAACTCCCCCTATTTATTATGTTTCTGTTAACACTTTTCAAGGCTCTGGAATGTGCCATCCCGGCCAGGTCTTATCACTACCAGAGGCTTAGTTCTAGGGTCACATGTTGTCTGTTCAGCACCTCTTTTTCTCTGCCTGTAAAGGGGAAACTTTATAAAAGACTTTGAGAGGCCAAAGTGAGCTAACGCTTGCACGGTGCTCAGCACACAGAGGAGGCACACAAGCTTCGAAGGCCCAGGTGGGAGGGGGAAGCCCTTGATGAAGTCCTCAGCGGGTCAGCAGGCAGAGGCAGGATTTTGGGCTCAAGCTAGGGCTCCTGCAGCCCCAGCACAGGCCAGATTGTGCAGTCAGCATTCATGGAGTGGATCCTGTCTGAGGCTCCCAATGACCCAGCCCCATAGGAGCAGTACTCCCATCCACAACTGAGGCTGAGGCTGCCACACAGGGAGCCCTTCTCAGAGGGCCAGGAGGGACCTGATCAAGAGGGAAAGGACTTGCGAACAGA